CCCCAAAACCCCAAAACCCCAAAACCCCAAAACCCCTTTTAATTGAATAGTAAGAATCATTGAAATTGGTTTATGAAAAATAATCGCAATATCAAGTCATTTGTACGAAATTCATATGTCCAGTCTTGCTTGCGTGATCCATTGCATCATTTTGGCCAGTCAGGCCTTAAAAACAAATTCCACATTGCAAACTAAATTTGCTTGTGTCCGTGTATTATTTCTTAGAATTCAAAAGCTTTGCAAGTTTTAAGCTCTCCTACAATGTTTATTCATCACTTGGACTAAATACTCTAATCTCTGTATTCTCACTAATTTATTCAAATAAATCGGTAAAATTACTCCTTATTTTCGAGGAAGTTCTTGACACATAAATCATAATGTATACCTGAGTAGATCAAATAAATCCTCTAGCTATAACCCTTGCCCTGAAAAGATGTAATCTTCAATTAATAAGCTTACCTGACCAAAAATATCATATCTAATGTTGATTATATCAACTGCTACTATTTCACATTCTAACTAATCTGCAAATATCATCAGTTCGATTGCACCACCCCAACTATTCTACCCACTAATAAATTAAGCGTACTCCTCAGGACTTTTCCCTAAAATAGCTTCATTGAAATTAATGGGATCACTTCGTACTATCTTTGCTATAACTTCTCTAAGCTTGCTAGATTCATTAAGACTGCATTTCAGAGCTAATCCAATGCAATTAAATAAACATGAATCATCAGCTTTAATTATTCTCCTATACATAAACATTCCATCACTTGTAGTTATCACATAGTTATCCAGTATTTCTTATTTATTTTAAACCAATTATTCCTACTGGATTTATTATTAGGGCATTTATTGCTACTCTTAGACTATTTATTTTTATGGTTTGATATCTGCCATAACCTGTTGTTCACTTGTATTTTGAGTAGCAACTACTTGAGTTCATCTAAGCCAATCTTCTGAAGTTAAATGCAAAGTTTCTCTATTTTTAATACCTAATTCCTTCAAAGTCATCCCACTATTTTAATCTATTTCCTTGGGTGGAAATCCTCTCTTAAGCACTAGGGGTTTCCCTGCATAAACTTTATATATTTTAATAACTATTCTAGAAATTACCTATTTCTTTGTCAAGAAATTTTATGAAATCTTTAATTTACATTGAGAGATTGACATTTTCGAAAATTCTCTCTCCTTTTGGCTGTAATCTTATTTGGAGAGTTGCTCCAGTAGTAGCCTCCATTATATTTATTCAATTTAAAGTTTATTATTTTAACCTCAAGTTAGATATTATTAAAATCTATAAAAATAAATGAAGAAGATTTTATCATATATTTGGAAGTCCCCAGATAAGAGACGTGTGATTTATCTCCCAATAAACAAAATCGATATAAAGGCTAAAGAAAAGATAGATTAAGCACTCAAGAATGTGAATGAAGGAAATACTGCAGCAATATTGTTGTCAATTAATACTAAACTTCCAAATAGCTCTCACTCGCTAGTGTATGCGGATTAGATTGGAGAAAATCTTATGAATAAAACTTAAGCAATTGGAAATGGAGTGAAACTTATCACTTATGCAGAAGATACATGTCTTGGAGTTGGGTTTTAACTTCTGTCATATGGAGATATTGTCCTGAGTAATCCCAATTCTTTGCTAGGCAATGTTGGTTTTTCATCAGATCCCTGGAACTTAAAAGAATTTTCAGAGTACTATCAGATTAAAATGAGATATATTCATAAGGGAAAGAAAAAGGTAAGACTGAATAGATTTCAAGACTTCGAGTAAGAAGATATTGATTGGCTAATGAATATAATGAATAAAAGAGTAGAGGCAATCTCTTAATTGGTTACAACTAAAAGAGCCTCAAAATTCAAGAATAAAGACCAGACTATAAATCTAATTAAATCTGGAGAACTTTTTAAGCCAAAATAAGCATTAGAATTGGGACTTATTGATGAATTAACGAATCCTGATGAGTACGTTTTGAAAACATATGGGAAGGAAGTATATATTGATGTGCCTCAGTAAAATTGGAAATAAAAGATTGGATTATAAACTTTTGCAAACAATATAATTAGTACAGATAATTCAGACCTTGATTTGAATGAAATTGAGAACTTTGATGAGCAAATAAGAAATTTAATGATGAATTATTGCATCGAAAATGGTCTCAGAGCAAATATTCCTCTAAATATTTGAAGCGAAATCAAATATCAAAATGAAGGAGTGTTTAATGATGATTAATCATAAATTTAGTAAAGAAACAAATAAGAATTTATAACTTATAATATAATTTTAATTAAAGATAAAATTTGAAGAAGCATGACAAGACTCTCGTAGTCACTACAACTACTAAATTGAATCATGGAGACAACGTTTGGCTGTATATTTAAAATAAAAAATCATCGCTATTAGGTTGAAGATAGAGTTGCTAAGACTAAAGATCATTAATAATTGGAAAAACTTCAAGATCTTCTGACTGAAAAGAACACCTAAACGAATTATTATAAAACTGAAGATGTCAAACTCAATAGAGATTATGCGAGCCAACCAAGACTAGTGTGATTGATAGCTTTCTTAATTGTCTATGCCATAATCGGTGACAGGTGGCATTATTTAGTTTATCAAGCAATTTAATGAAATGCTCACTGAAAATGAATTTAAGGTTAGCTAGTCCAATTAAAAAACATCCTAACGGCTCACGAATCCACTCTTTTCGAGGTTTTTGACCAAGCACTGATATTTTCTTAAGCTAATGGCTCCTAGCAATTTATTAAGCAGGAAATATTTTCTATAAAGTTTGGATTTCATAGATCAGCTAATCCTTTGATGCGTGAAAACTCACCACAGGATTTATAATATCCAATCAATGCTAAATGCAAATGAAAATGAGTTGGATATCTCATTTTATATGATCCATAATATCAAAAGAACTTGCTGCGAGCTAACCTCGGTTACCTCTTCCAGAAATTAGGTCTCAATATTACTTAGCATTTTAAAGTCACGACCTTCTCGTTAATTGATTACATTGTTAACTTCTTCATTTCAATATACCAAGACTAGAGTAAAATAGTGCATATATAATAATAATGATAGTTTGCAAGGGTTAAGAAGAAATTGATTACTGAAAGAAGTGCAAATACGAAAGCAAATTGTGCAAACAAAGATAAGAGAGAGAGAAGTTGCTAAATAAAAGCTAGGAGCTGCTATAACAACGTAACTAATTTATAATCTTTGCTAAAATCTTTGAAAATAGTACGCAATCGTATGGATGGAGAGATCCCTATGATAATCTTGCATTTGGTTACAAAAAGTGGTATTTGCAAGAGAACTTTCCATTACTCTGGACGTCTATAATGAAATTCTGGAGAATTTAAAGAATTCGCATAAATATATAAATTTATATAATGGGCTTACAAACATTTAAATTATATACATATTCTCAGATATTTTTAGTACATTCATTAATACTGCTTCTTATTTATTAAAGTTAAGGAATTAATTAACATACTTCTCGTATATCTGTGCCACAAATACTTTGATTCCCAATTATTCTCAGTGCTGTCTAGTTGGGTTAGGAGGGGGTCTCTTGGGCTTTCTATTGTAACTTTAGCCTTAAGCACCTGGCTTACCACCACTTTTATCCTTTTTAGCTGCTTGACCGATGCTTTTAGATCTTTATTTAGGGGCATCATCTACAAGAAGAGTCTCAAGTTAAAGACTCTCTGGCAGTAGGAAGTACCTAATGTTGTTTCCTCTAATAGTCAAGTGTTCAAGTGCAATTGTTTCCCTCCCTTTCACAGTTAGTTTAACTGCCTTCAAATGAGTATTCATTGACACATCAACACCTATATGAGTAAGTGATCTATCTAATACATACCAGTAACAGTGCCAACGACGATTGTTCCGTTTTTAAGCTCAATTGTTACGGTCTCATTGTTTAATTTCATGAGAAAGCGTACTAACTTCATTTTAAAGTAATATTATTTGACTAATTAATTATTTATAATTATTATAATCCCTCATCTTATAATTAATTAATAAATGAAGAAAGTCAGATTCCAAGATGACCTTGGGTCCCTTGATTTCTCCAAGAATTCAGATCCAGCCAAGAAAATGTAAGAATACTTGTAATTAATTGTAAATTTAGAGAGAGCATTTAGTTTAGTCTGTTGACAGCCTAGGATGTTCAAAAATCAAGTTAAATACCTATTTATACCAGAAATATTTATTCGATGGACCAACCATCTCAGCCTCAAAGAGGAGGTCCCCTCGATCTAAGAATGGGAATCAGTGAAAGAGGTAAGAACTGCGAAACTTGCAAAAAGGCTCTAGCGGATTGTCCGGGGCATTTCGGTTATGTAAAGCTAGAATTACCAGTTTTCCATGTAGGATACTTCAAGCACTCTGTGAATATCTTATAAGTAGTATGTAAAGAATGCAGCAATGTCCTTCTTGAAAATCCAGATAAGATAAAGTTTATCAAGCAGATGAGATCTAAAACTGATCCACACTAGAAACTAGCAATTTGGAAGACAATCATTACCTAGTGCAAGAAAGTAAAGAAATGCCCTCATTGCGAAGCACACAACGGCACTGTAAAGAAAATGCCTAATTTCCCAACAAGAATAATTCATGATAAATACAAGGGCGCGAAAGGAACAGATTAAGATGAGTTAATATAAGACTTTGCCCATGTTTTCACATTAAACAATAATATCGAAAGCAGTTTAAGATCATCTTATGAAGAGCTTGACCCTCAGAAGGTCTACAATATCTTTCAGAGAATTAAAGACGAAGATGTCGTGATTTTTTATATGGATTAAAATCTCTGCAAGCCAATAGATATGCTGATCACCCATATTCCAGTTCCTCCAGTTCCAATTAGACCCTCAGTCGCTGTTTCATCGAGTACGACAAACGAAGATGATTTAACTGTCAAAATGGCTGAAATTATCTAGCTCAATAATTTGATAAAGATAAGCATAGATGAAGGATTAGCTCCTAACAAACTTATTGAAGATTGGATTTTATTGCAATACACTATCGCATAATATTTCAATAGTGAAACACCTGGACTTCCTCATAACTTATTGGGAAACAAATAAATCAGAGCTCTAAGTCAAAGATTAAAAGGAAAGCATGGTAGATTCAGGTAAAACTTATCAGGAAAAAGAGTAGACTTCACAGGAAGAACTGTCATCTCTCCAGATCCTAACTGTGGAATTGACGAGGTTATGATTCCAATTTACATCGCTAAGAATCTTACTTTCCCTGAAAGGGTGAATCAATATAACATTGAAAAACTTAGAAACCTGGTGAGAATTGGTCCAGATGTGCATCCTGGCGCTAACTATGTAGAATCATTAGATGGAAATAAAGTTTTACTATAATATGCTAACAGAAGAAAAACTGCTGAGGAACTTCAAATTGGAGATATTGTCGAAAGACATCTGGAAAATGGCGATGTTGTGCTTTTTAATAGACAACCCAGTCTTCACAGAGTCTCAATTATGGCTCATAAGGCTAGAGTAATGCCCTCAAGAACTTTAAGATTCAATGAGTGTGTATGCACACCTTATAATGCAGATTTTGATGGTGATGAGATGAATATTCATTTACCTTAATCTGAGGAGGCAAGAGCAGAAGCTAGAATACTAATGGATGTCAAATAGAATTTATTGATTCCCAGATCAGGAGAGCCTTTGATCGCTCCCACACAAGATTTCCTAACTTCTAGTTATCTAATAACATAAAAAGATTTCTTCCTTAATAGAAATGAATTCATGAGAATATGCGCTTATTTCTGGGATGCTAATGAGAGAATTGAGATTCCTCCTCCAACTATTTATAAGCCTGTTGAATTATGGACTGGAAAACAGATCTTCAACGTACTTTTAAGACCTAACAGAAAAAGCAATGTTTATGTCAACACAGTGGTTAAAGAAAGAAATTACACTGGATAAGGAGAACATATGTGTCCAAATGATGGTTGGGTCATTTTCCAAAACTCTGAGCTTATTTGCGGAAATTTGTGTAAGACAACGATGGGAAGTGGATCGAAAACAGGATTGTTTTATTCATTGTAAAGAGATAATTCAGTAGAAGTTGCTGCCTAATGTATGTTAAGAGTTGCAAAATTCTCAGCTAGATGGATTTCAAATTATGGAATGTCAATCGGAATCAGTGATGTTACCCCATTTGAGGTGCTTATTCAAGAAAAATAAAAGCTATTAGATGCTGGCTATGTAAATTGTGATAAACTTATTGATCAATATAAAAAGGGAGATCTAGTTCTCAAAGCTGGTTGTAATCCTGAACAAACTTTAGAGTCCTACTTAAATGGAGAGCTGAGTAAAATTAGAGATAAGGCTGGTGAAATTCTTAAAAGCAAACTGCCAAAGCATAACTCTCCTTTGATTATGGCAATATGTGGTTCTAAGGGTTCCAATATTAATTTATGTCAAATGATAGCTCTTGTCGGGTAATAAACTGTCAATGGTTAGAGAATGCCTAATGGTTTCTTTGACAGAAGTCTACCTCATTTCGAACCATATTCTAAGTATCCAGCTTCTAAAGGATTCGTCAAAAATAGCTTTTACACAGGTCTAACAGCAACTGAATTCTTCTTCCATACTATTGGAGGTAGAGAAGGTCTTGTAGATACAGCAGTCAAAACTGCAGAGACTGGTTATATGCAAAGAAGATTAATGAAGGCATTAGAGGATCTATCAGTAAAGTATGACGACACTGTCAGAACAAGCACTGAGCATGTGATTTAATTTTAATACGGAGATGATGGTCTAGATCCTATGTTTATGGATGACAATAGTCTTCCAGTTAGTTTAAAGAGATTAATGATTATGATTAAGGAAAATACTAAGTAAACATCAAAAGTTATTAATGAAGATGTGTTGTTGCCATTTTAAGTGGTGGAATTCAAAAATAAAATCAAGGAGAATTGTCCAGTTAAAAATGTTAGTCTCAAATTCATTGAATAATTAAAAGACTTCATCTAAACAATCATTAATTAGATAGCTAAATAAAGAAAAGACCTCGGATTAAAAGATGGACTAAATCAAATTCCAACTTTATAAGAATTAAAGAATGAGAGAAAAGACAAAGTTGTTCAAAAATTACTAAGAAATTTCACTTTCTTAACACAAAGTTAGCTTGATGATTTCTCTACTCTAGTTTGGTTAAAATACAGAAGAGCACAAATTCAACCTGGAGAAGCAGTCGGTGCAGTTGCAGCACAATCAATTGGAGAGCCTGGAACTCAGATGACTCTAAAAACCTTCCATTTTGCTGGAGTTGCTAGTATGAACGTCACTTTGGGAGTACCCAGAATTAAGGAAATCATTAATGCCACAAAAGAGATCAGCACTCCAATTATTACAGCTAGATTAGTTAATGATGTAGATCTAATTTCAGCCAGAATAGTGAAAGGTAGAATAGAAAAGACTATTCTAGGTGATATTGCAAAGTATATAAAGGAAGTTTACACTCCAAGAGGATGCTTCCTAGAAGTGAAGTTAGACTTAAAAGCCATTACTGCATTGAAGCTTGAACTAACCATTAATGAAGTTAAAACAGCAATTCTCAAAACCCCAAAAATAAAAGTAAAAGAAAAGAATATTGAAATATTTGACGAAAGAAAGCTTCACATCTAGCCTTTTGACACCACAAGAGACAACATGTATTTCTCAATGCAACAATTAAAAAATATGCTTCCAAGTGTGAGTGTTAAGGGTATTCCAACTGTACTGAGAGCAGTCATTTCTAAGCAAGAGCAAGATCAAGCTAAACATTTATTACTGGTAGAGGGCTATGGGCTTAAAGAAGTCATGTCTACTCCTGGTATAGATTTCAGATACACAAAATCTAACCACGTTATTGAGACAGAGCAAGTCTTAGGTATTGAGGCTGCTAGATAAACAATCATCAATGAAATCCAATATACAATGCAATCTCATGGAATGAATATTGATCCCAGACATATCCAACTATTAGCAGATATCATGACATTTAAAGGCCAAGTTTTAGGCATCACCAGATTTGGAGTCTCAAAGATGAAAAATTCAACTCTTATGTTAGCTAGTTTCGAGATGACCACAGATCATCTTTATGATTCTGCAGTGCATTGCAAAAAGGATGATATCACTGGAGTGTCAGAATGTATTATCATGGGCAATTTAATTCCAATTGGAACAGGCTTATTCAAAGTAGTTTATGATGAAACTTTATAGAAAGAAGAATAACCAGGACTATTGATCTCTAATGAGAATGAAAACGAAGATCTTATTTTTGATGGTATAAATGATGTGATTGAAAACCAAAAAATGCTGATTGATAGTTGATAGAATTTAATTAAACCTTAATTTCATAAATAGTTTTACAAGAAATCTTATATGAAAATAATAAAGTTCTCTAACATCAACTAAATTATTCACTCAAACCTATCTTGCCTTTTATTCTTAAAATTTACATTGTTTTGTTATGAAATTCAGTTTAGCTGCACTATTGAGTAAAATTAAAATTAATCTTATAGTTAAGTAGTTGAGTATAATAACTTCATTTTCAAAAGTCAATTTTGTTGATATGCATAATATCTCTATTGTCAAACGATTAAGGATTAAAATTAAGCATTTTCTTTGAAGGGTCTTTGATCTAAGACTGAGGTTAAATGTAAGATTTCTAGTTTGAGTTCGCTTTGATCTTTTCATTGGATTCTGTTTACTTATTGGCCGAATTCATATTTTTATTTGTAGAATTTCTGAGTATCTGGCTAGAGTTAAAACTGAATCTTTACTATCTAGATCTTTTAGAAGAGATTGATCTTACATCAGACTATTGCTGCTACGATTGAGTTTGAGTGACAATGCTTCCTCTATTTTCCTTCTATTATATAAACTGATTCAAGTACTGTCTATCAAATGACTAATTCATATTAGCATTATTGGATCTTATCTGTGATTAGTTATGTTTCTTTTGAGATTTCAGATTCTCAAATGACTGTCTATTTTGAATTGAACTTTGTCTCAACTATATTTCTTGATTTTCACATTCAAAAATATCATCAGTAGATGACAGATCAATATGAATGACCTTTTCTTTATCATTGAAATATACTGGAGGGTAGCTAATCTGTTAAGATTCCTTATAGTTATAATCAAACCTTCCTTCATCTTGCTAGGGTTAGTAATTGTGTGAATTTTCTTAGGTGTTTTTCTGGTTATTATTTTTAAGATTATATGATGCTGAATAGATTGTGTTTTTGGAATTCTAAGTATCTGTGTCTTTTTTTACTATAAGTTTGGAATTATTATTTAGAAAAATATCGGTGTTTAGTCTCCTATGCTATCTTCTTTTAGTCTGTCCTAGGACAAAGTTTATTGGATCCATTCTATTATTAATTATCTTATATTGCAACTAAAAAAGTTAGTCAAAAAGTCAGTAAAAAGACACAAAATGAAAAAATTTCAAATAAACTTAGGGTGACTTACATCGAATAGGTCCGCTGCACAAATTACTATTTGACTAATAATATTTTTTTCCTTAATAAGTTGATCAGATTCTTAGAGTATCATTCTTACTAAAGTGCTAAAATATTGCTGGCTAAATTCCTCATTTTCTATCGACTGTTATACCCTAGCAAATTAGAGATACAGTTTTTATTTAGACTTAAAATATTGGATGATATATGGCCACTCATACAGCTTTTTCACATCTGCCTGCATTAAATTGTTGAATTCATGAATCTTGATAAAATAGTCACAAGCCTTGTGTAAGTACTTAGAAGGCTTTTTAATTTTGAGCAACTCCAAAAATGTTCAGACTGTCAACTGACTTACCAGCTTTTTTAACTCCTCACTTATCTAGAAATAACGCTCAATATGCTATCTCTTTATCATAGCTTCCTGCTCTGTTTGAAGTTCTTAAAGCTAAAGGATTCTGCGATGAGCCGACATCTTATTCTAGTAGTGCTTTTCCTACTCCTGTATTTTTTGGGGAGACTACTTTTGGATGTTTAGCTTAGCGCTGTTACTCTACTCAGTTGTAGATGATTTTAGATTAGAAGGAAGATTTTCATCTGACATCTGAACTTTAATGTCTTGATTATTAAATTCATAGGTGATTAGCTATTCACTATTATCTAAGATTTAATCTGGCTCCGCATTGAATAAATTATCAAGTGCTAAGTTACGTAATTGTAAGCGAGGAAGTTTAATGGTGCTGTTAAAATCAACAGATTTTTAACTATTTTTCGACAAATATTTTTCCATTAACTAAATAAATATTTCTCCTAACAACTAAATAAATTTTATCGGTTCGGGGTTTTGGGGTTTTGGGGTTTTGGGGTTTTGGGG